TAAGCTACAAGCATAAATAATAAATTTATTTACCACAAAATATTGAAAGCTCGATAATCTAAATTTTCTGGAATCGGTAACAGAAGCAATTGGTAATGGAAGCAACTTGGAAATTAAAATTAAAAATGAATTTTCAAGAGTAATAATTTTTTTTTTTTTTTTTACTACATAGAAAAATTGAAGAAATACAAGACAAAAGAAACAATTTATAATAAAAAAAATATTGATACTACAAAGAAAGTTTACCTCGTATTATTCATCTAAATCCAAAATGTCTTTCCTACGCTGTAAACAAAAAATTAACAAACAATCAAAAACATATATTTTACATTTAAATTGAAAATTTAACTAAGTATTTAAAATTAAATAAACTGCCTGCTTCGATTTTTTCAAAATCTTCACGCTCATTTTCATCCACAATTTTTGGATTACCTCTTCGAATCCAATCTTGTGTATATATGAGTGCTTCAACCAACTTTGGGGTAAGAACTCCGAAAATGATCAATAACACGACCTCCCATGTGGAAAGCTGACTCTGAAGCAACCGTAGATACTGGAATGGCCAATACATCTCTTGCCATACGAGAAATGGTCAGATATTTTGACCCCGTTGTTTTCCACCAATACAAGATATCAAAGTTCGATTGAGTCATCTTTTCACATTTGTCATACAAGTACTTATCCAATTCAGATTTCAACACACCATGGACTTCAATTGCTTCAAATTCCTTCAACTCTTTCTGCAATCTTTTCTCAAAGTCATCAATTTGGGAAAAATTTGGTGTAGCATTACAGCAAGCCATGCTAGAAGGTTCCACTTCAATGTTAGATATTGAAGTGGAATTATATTAATCAAACATTATTCTCAAAACATCTTGAATTGACCGAAGCAATTCTTTTGCTTCACTCTCTGCATACATGCAATTTATCATAAAATTCACCCAACGCATTTTATAGCGCGGATCAAGAATGGTTGCAAGATAAATCATTGGATTAACATTTTTCCAATCTCACCAATATTTAAAAAATTTTCCAGACATTTTGGAAACCATTGACCTAACTAATGAATCCGGATCTTCCACCATTGATTGAATATTATATGCAACGCGAAAAATTTCATTCATATATAAATTCCCAGTTGCATATTTAGAGCCAGAGATTCTAACAGTTGTATCATGAAAACATTTAAAAAATGATAGTAATCCACGTGCATAAGACCAATCATCCTCTGTAGGTGGCACTTTGTCGTTCTTTTTCAACTCATCCTTATATTTGTCATATTTGCATTCCACCAAATCAAACGCATCTTTCACTCTTAAGGTGGAATCCAACATTTTATATGTTGAATTCCATCTTGTATCAACATCCAATGAAGCAATAGCATTCGTATTCAATCTTTTCTTTTCCATCAATTTTTTGAATGCTTGTGTATGATATGAAGAAGACCTCACATAAAGAATAGCAGACCAGATTCGCTCAATTGAACCCTTTATTTAATTCAATCCATCCTTAACAATAAGATTCAAAATATGTGCACCGCATCTCATATGTAAAATCTTTCTATCCAAAGTCACATCTCCCCATTTCTTCAACCTATCTTTTAGATATCTTCAACCAACATCATTTGTGCTCGCATTGTCAACCGTTATAATAAAAAAAAATTTTGATTTTCCAAGCCACCAAATAATCTTCAACTTTGTTTCTAATCGCATAACCCGAATGACCAAGAATTTGTGAGAAGTTTAAATTTTTTTGTGCAAATTCCAATCATCATCAATAAAATGGGCAGTTAATAACATATAACTTAGATTTTGGCAAGATGTCCAAATATCTGTGGTGAGGCAGGAAGATGTCCAAATATCTGTGGTGAGGCAAACACTACCTTTATAATTCTTGATAAAGGTCTCCAACTTTGACTTTTCATATTCAAAAATTTTAATACAATCTCTAACAAGTGTTATTCGGGATGGAATTCCTAATCGATGTTGAATGACACTCATGCAATCACGAAAGCCATCTGATTCTACAGTTCTAAATGATATCTCATCAACAATAATTCATTTAGCAAGAGCTTTACGACATTGTTGTTGATCAAATGACAAAAAAGAATTAACACCAACACATTCATTCTCTTTTTTCGGTTGATAATGCATTGTTGTTTGTTTGAACTTTTTATCCATATGCGCATCATCGTCAACCTCATTCAGAATTGTCTAGCACCTTTCCAAATGACTCAACATAGCACTAGTACTTGTGCCTAACTTAGATTTGCACATAATCAATGTAGAACAATGATTGCATTTTGTCTTATCTCCATATTCAATCTTTCTAAAATTATCCCAAACAACAGATCGAGATTTAGGTATGTTAGGAGTAAGACAATTATCTGTCGCTTGAGTTTGAAAATCCTGTGAGTCTGGTTGAAATTGTGTTTCTGGCATAGAAGATTTCATATGATACCGGTCTGTTTTTTAACCCATTAATTCCATTAAACCTGTATTTACATAATTTTTTTAGTAAGAAATAAAGGAAAAAAATATAAACAATAGATACGCTTCCATAAACACTCATTACCAATTTTGGATTCAAAATAAATAAGTTAGCATTTTAATTGTTAAAAAAAAAACATAAAACTTGCACAATTACATTTATATTTTGGAATTTTTTTTGAACAAAAAAGAAATGGTTATTGCACTAAAAACAATAAAAATGTCTGCACAATGTAAATATAATGAAAAAAATAAAATAAAATGGAAAAGATTTTTTAATCTTGAATCGACGATTTGTAGTTATTGCCCGAAAGATTGTGCAATTGTATTGTGCGCGAAGAGTTGAAAACGATGGTGTTGATAGTTGTACAGAACTGGAGAAGAGGGGGTGAAGCCGTGCTGAAAGATGGGATGAAAAATCGCAGAAACAAGATGAAGCCGTCACTGATGGACAGAAAAATCGCAAGAGGGTAAACTGGTGAAATACCGCAGATGTCTGCGAGGTAGATGAAGAAATTGGGGTTGTGAAATCGCGTTTGAGATTTGGGAGATGAAATTTGGCGGTTTGCACTGGGTCTTAACGGGGTCTTATAAAATTATTCGGTTCAGTTAACCGAACCGAAAAAAAGTTAGAAACCGAAATCGAACTGAACTGAACAAATGCCAAATATGCAATATTTGTATTTGAACCAAATTTGCTCGGTTAACCGAAATTCTATTCGATTCGATTTGGCGATTCGGTTTGGATATTTTGCCAACGCCTAATATAAATAATAATTTATTAAATTATTATTTTATAATAGACAATTAAAATAATAAACTTAATAAATAATTAATTTAAATATTAAATAAATATAAATTATTAAAAGTTTAATGTATTAGTAATAATATGATTTAAATTAAATATAATTATATAATAAAAAGTTATAAAATTTCAAATATATACATCGAAATAGTATTATATTATTATTTTTATAAATATCATTAATAATTACTTACTTCTTCCATCCACTTAATAAATACATATTTACTATTGCATCATTATCATTATACTTAACATTAAAATTATTTCTATATTTATATAATATTTTGTATAAACATCCTTTATTAATATTATAAAATACTAATAAAAATATTTTTCTCATTTTTCCTTAAATTTTGCTATAATAATTAATAAAAGATTAAGTGAATAGATTATTATTTATTGCTTATTAATATTAATAATGTTTATTGAATAGCAATACTATATACAGTAATATTTTTAATTATTAGAAGTATTATTTTTATAAAATATACGACTTTATCCAACAACTTTTACCTTAACTAGAGTGGTTAACGATTTGAGTCGAGTCAAATTTTAAGTGTTCGTTAACGTTCGCGAACAAGACTCATGTTCGTTTGTTAAGCTTTCGAGCTCGTTCGTAGTGTTCGAGCTCAATTCGTTAAAAATTTTTGTTGTTTGAGTTCGTATTCATGTTCGACTCGTTTAGACTTGATTAAGCTCGTTCGAGTTCGTTCGAATTCGTTAATTTCATTTTTTTTTAATTTACATACAAATTAAAAAAAAAAATTTTATTTTATTTATATATTTTAAATTAATATTTTATTTATATATAAGTTATAATTTTATATATATAATATTTATAATAAATATATTATTTAAATGAATCGTTCGTGAACGATCGCAAACAAAGCTCAAATTCATTTAGTAATCAAACGAGCCGCCGCCGCATGCACAGTCTTACTCTCTCTCGTCTTCTTTCATCCCCTTTCTTTCCTTCCTTCTTATTTTCTATTTTTTTTTCTTTTTTTTTTCCGCTCATCCTCCTTCAAAACTTCACCTAGGGGTGGTTACGGTTCGGATATTTGCAAATATGCAGGTATTTGATATCCGAATCAAACCGAACAAATACTCGAAATCGTGAATCGTATTCGAATCGAAATTTTCAGTTAATCGAAAATATTTGCAATATTTGCAAATAATTCGAACCGAATCGAAATTAAAAAATAATTAAAATTATATTTGCAAATATTTCAAATATCCGAACTGAAACCGAACCGTAATCGAACTGGAACCGAATCGAATATAATTATTAATATAAATTTAAAATATAATAACATAAATATATAAATATATTCTGTTCGGTTAACCGAACCGAAAAAATCGAGACTGAACCGAACCGAGCAAATATCAAATATGCAGTATTTGTATTCGAACCAAATTTGCTCGATTAACCGACAATTCGGTTCGATTCAGTTCGGTTTAACCTGTCGGCAGTTGGGTTCGATTTTTTTGCCCAACCCTAACTTCACCCACCTTTCTGCTGCTGCTCCGCCGCCGGTGATTGCTTAGTGCCCGCCGATTCAAACCGCGGTTTATGGTTAGGAGAAAAATCGAACCGATGGCGGTTCCAGTTTGAACCGAACCCACCGGTTCGAAACCGGTTCAGCAAAGTCTACACTAAACCACGTATATCTTTAGCCATGGTTTTGGGCCGAGTTCGATAAACGTAAAAGACCCGTCTGCGCTTACAAGTGACGCAGGGCCTAGCCGTCTTTCGAACCTTCCCACAGGCCTTAACATCACATGTTCAGCCGGCGATTGAAATATGAAAGAATGTGCTGTTTGATGCTGCGATTGAAGAAACCAAGTCGGTGACGATTGAAATTGTTGGTACAATTTTGCTTTCTTCTTCTTTCTGTAATTGAAAGGAATAATGCATCATGATATGACGGACGAATTGAACTTTTTATACCGAGCAGTGCTTTCTATTTGGGCTGTTATTTCTTTTTGCTTGCTTAAGTAATTTTATCGAGATTTGGTGAATTTGCTTAGGTTCAAGTTGGCCCGATTACGGCGAGCCTGGGCTAACCCTTGTGTAAAATTCATTCATGTTCATCATCTTAATCCTTATGAAGTCTTCTCCTTCTAGTCGCAGAGGGCAGTTTCTGTGAATTCTCGATACGATTATCACTGTTTAGGGAGGGGCAGGCAGAGTAGGTAAAAAGGATGGTGGCGAAGAAGGGGAACAAAGGTGCAATAGGGACAGGGGATGCAGAGGAGGAACTGACCCGCGTGCCTCTGCAGGCTATTCTATTGGCTGATAGCTTTGCCACTCTCTTCCGCCCAATTACCCTTGAACGCCCTAAAGTATGTTTTCTAACACTAATTTAGGCTAAAGTTGTTAGCTTTCATTTGGATGCTTTGCAAAACATGAAATTGAATATTGATTACGAGCTTGCATTTGGTATATCAATGTAATTTTGTAAGTTAAATCTTGCAAATGATACTGCGTTGTATGTCCTTTGAATGGTGGTGAAGTGGATGCATTCACGCAGTAAACCCTGCTCTAGCATGCTTTATATTATCAGTGAAATAAATTTGTTTAGTTATGTTTTGAAAGTTCACTTCTATTAATAATGAATATTTCGAAAACAAAGTTGAAAGCATATTCGAGTAATCCATAATTTTCATGAAATTTGCAAGTTTTCATGTGTGTTAATTATAGCTTCTTTGTTGGTGGATTTATTTGCTGATGGTATCTATACTAGTTCCTGTGATATGATTGTGAACTGTTAGCAAATCATAATTATACCTTCTTTATTTTTTGTTTTTTTTTTCCTTTTTCAATTTGCTTCGTGTGTTTAAGGTATTGTTGCCGCTGGTTAATGCGCCCATGATTAGCTACACTCTGGCGTGGCTTGAATCTGCTGGAGTTGAAGAGGTGTTTGTGTTCTGCTGTGCTCATTCTAAGCAAGTGATTGATTATTTGAAAACTTCCAAATGGTTTGACCAACCAAACTTCTCAGTAACGACCATAGAATCCTACAATGCAACCAGTGCTGGAGATGCTCTGCGAGTGATATATGAAAGGAATGTGGTATGTTGTCACTTTTTTTAGCTATTATTTATACATCTTCCTTCATCTAAATAATTAAGAAGTTGCATGAAATTTTTTCTTTTCATATCTATTACTTTATGAAAAATTAGGTTCAACTTATGATGTACTTGTCTTGATATTGATATAAAATATGCAAGAAGTGAGTGTTGTTGATAACCTGCCAAATTGGGAGCACCAAATTGGAGGACAATGGTGCAGGGACTGTCAAGTGTTACTGTTTTCTATCATGCTTTGTTGGAGACATGCTGGACTGGATGCATTTTTTTTTTTCTATTATTATTATTATTATTATTATTATTTTATTTTCAGTTGTGCATAGTAAACTAGTATGTTTTCTGTACATGAGCATTTATTTGTTATTCTGGTTTGAAAATTATATGCCAATACTAGGTGAGAGTTGAAAAAATTATGAAGATCTGATGGTTAGTTTTTCACTATTGCATACTTGTATTTTCCTGGATCGGGCCGATTAGGTGTACCTGAGATTTTATTTCTATGCTTTAGCTTATTTTAAATGACCAGTTATTGCTCTTAAGAAACTTATAATATTACTATTCTGTTTAAAACAAACTAACATTATTATGTTTGATTTACAGATACAAGGTGATTTCATCCTTGTTACTGGCGATACAGTCAGTAATATGACGCTTACACATGCACTTAAAGAACATAAAGAGAGAAAAAGAAAGGACAGCAATGCAATAATGACCATGGTCATCAAACAGTCGAAGCCATCTCCAATAACTCATCAATCACGCCTTGGCACAGAGGAGCTACTTGTGGCTATCGATCCAGATACAAAACAGCTGTTGTATTATGAAGACAAGGCTGATGCTTTGAAAGGGATGGTTTCACTGGACAAGGCATTGCTGAGTGATAATTCTTCTATATCTCTTCACAATGATAAACAGGTCCCACCCCTTTTCTGTTTGAACTTGTTATTTTACTCTCAGTGAACCACAATCCTCGCCATAAAAATGAAATGACAGAGTAGAAGAATGATAACTTCAAAGTTCTCAAACTTCGTGTCAGTACTTAGCTACAATGGTTGGAGTTTCTGAAAACATTGGATTTTGAGAGCTTAATTGTTACATATCATGTAATATGATGTATTGCATTTACTCTGCTTTACTGTTAGTGGTGATGAATCTTCTTTTCTATCAATCACTAGGACTGATGGAAATTTGGATAAGTTGGAGTTAAAAGTAAACCTTTTTGCATTTGATTCAGTAAATGCTTCTTGAAGTGCAGCAGCAAAAGTCAATATCTTTGCCTATGAAGCAAGGCTCGTGCATGTTGAAACTTTTTACATATGCAATGCACTCTGCACTTTGCATGTTATTCCCAACATCTTCTATTCGATGTTTTGTGGCTATGTATACATATATGGTACTCATATAAATTGTTTTGCATTGTTTTGAAAACAGTGTTTTTTTTTTTTTTTTTTTTCTCTCAATGTTTCACAAATAACTCTGTGTCTGATGCTCTCGGTTATTTACTTTCTCTGCAGGATTGCTATATTGACATATGTTCCCCGGAAGTTCTTAGTCTTTTTACAGATAATTTTGATTATCAGCATTTACGCCGTCACTTTGTCAAGGGACTACTTGTTGATGATGTAAGTACAAAAGGAAATCTTCTATATGAATTGGAGAAGCTAATTACTTTTGTCTTAGGACACACTCAGGATGTAGTCTTTGAATAGCATTATAATGCAACCTCTACTCTTCTTACATCTAGTTTTACCAAATTTATATCTGTATGCATTTTACTGTTATATGTGCATATGCAAAGGATCTTAAAAAATGTAGAATATCCAAACTGTTTAACATGCTGTTTCAACTCTCTTGAATATCATTGCTGGTGTACTTAAATGTCTTTTACAAGTAAATGATATATATGTGTGTAACCGTCTTCCGTAGTTGTACTGTTTATCTGTATATGGTGTGCATATGGTATGCTTTCTTTGTCTATCATTATTATTGCTCCTCTTACAATTTTTTGTTTGTTGGTTTTTTTGACAATGCACCTATTATGTCATAGTAACTTTGAAATTGGAGCAAAGATAAGATAAATTGGAAACACAGTTAAATGGGGAAACAATAAAAAGGAAAGGTAAAGAAACTGGGAGCATGGTTGTAATTGATATTGCGTTTTAATGATTGGACTCAATTGGTCCTCTTGATTTCTTGCCTAATTGTTGAGTTCTCTGTTTGTGGTGGTGGATTATTAGGTTTTCTGCAAGTTGTATGAACTTCTCGATCTATATTATCTGTTATCTCAGTTTATTGTTCCCATCATGTCCTTGTGTTGCCCTAACTTTCATGAGGAAGCATGATTTTACTTTTCAGCACATACATCATATTTATCCCTTTTATCTTTTCTTCAGATTATGGGTTATAAAATTTTTGTCCATGAAATTCATTCAAGTTATGCGGCTAGGATTGATAATTATCGGAGCTATGACACCATTAGTAAAGATATCATCCAGAGGTGGACTTATCCTTTGGTGCCTGACATTCAGTTTATTGGAAATTGTGTGGCGAAGCTTGGGAGACAAGGAACATATCGAGCATCAGGTAAAAAAGTTAATCTAATTTGAATAGATTGTAGTGACTAGTTACTATGTATATGTATATTTATACCCGCATTTGCACTAAAGGATTGGTGAAGTATTGAAAGGATTCTTCCTTCATTTTTTGTCCCTTTTTGGGTCATAATGTACACAAATGATTTGTTCATCTGGTGTTTACCATTACAATCTCCTGACAGTGCGTAGATGAATCATTACAGATTGACCAATCATCAATGTTTCAAATAAGAAATGTCTAAAACTTCAACAACTAAGCCAGTATCTCCTTTTTCTACAGATGGAATGTAAATGGACTTTCCATGCATAGTTGTTTACTACTGTCTGTTTTATGTTATCTTCTTTCATATGTGACTATCATAGCTCTTTATCATTGGGTTTGCAAGTGCCAGCTATAAACACAGGTTTGCCTGCAGTCATGTAGCCAATGTATAATGTAACTTTGTAGCTCTGTGGATTTTGTTATAGGCCCAATGCAGGTCTCCACTCCATGTGATTGGGTTACTTTTGTGCATTTTTAATAATGTTTCTAGCTTAAATTCCAGATATAGGGATATCACGGTCGGCGAAGGTGGGCCCTTTTACTGTCATTGGAAGTGGCACCACCGTTGGAAACTACACAGAAATCTCAAATTCTGTCATTGGGGAAAATTGTCAAATTGGGTCAAACGTTTCAATTGATGGTTGTTATATTTGGAATAATGTTACCATTGAGGATAACTGCAAATTGAAGCATGCAATTGTGTGCGATGGTGTAATCATGAGGTCTGGAGCAATACTAGAACCAGGTGTTGTATTGTCTTTCAAGGTATTTTTTCTTGAAGTGTTGAAGTATCTCTCACCTCTTTCTCTAGTTTCTATTCATTTATGTTTTTTTCTCCTCTCAAAAACTATGTTCACAAGTTTGATGGCTGTGTCTACGCCTTTCTCTCACCTTTTTCTCCGCTAAAAGATATTGCATGTATGTTGCGAGGCTAATTTTTGGTTAATTGAGTCTTGCTGAAATTCTTCTATTTTATCTCACAAAACATGTGCTAGGTGAAGGAGTATGTTTGCCATACTGAAGCATGTGATTGGTTTGTTTTCTTAATTTCAATTTGTATCCCTTATGCACTTAATTTATGCAGGTAATAATTGGACAACAATTTGTTGTTCCTGCTTATTCGAAGGTGTCTCTGTATCAACAGCCTGTCAAGCAAGACAGCGATGAAGAGCTAGAATATGCTGATAACACCAGTGGGAACATAGAATTTGCATGTAACTTCTTGAACCCTCTAATGTATATACAATATTTTTTAAAAATGATTCCACAATCATTCTTGACTAGTACTGAGTTTTTTTCGTTTGTTTTTTTTTAACTTTCTTCTAGATGATATAAATTTTCTATGGTTTACTAGTTTCCATTAATTATCAGAAAATGTTTGGATGTTAGATATTAAGACTATCTGTGTAATATTTCAGAGAAATCAATTGCCCGGCAGGCAAATCTTAGAAGGATGTTAGTGTTACAACATTATCTATACTGTTATTCTTTTTGCCACTATTCTGAGACAATTCACCTTTGCTTTTAGATATAATAACTGTGCTTTCCTATGTATTAATGTGTTCTCAAATGCTTTCCCAAGGGTAACATAGTTGTGGTAGAATGATTCATGTGCTTATCCAATAATTTGGCAGCATCAGGCTCTTCCATCATCAATAGAAAAGACTGCTAAGTGATTATTTGTGCTATTCCTATGTTTTGATTCAACTTCTGTTAATAAGTGAAACATCGTAGTGTCTACCTGTGTTCAGCACACATACTCACTTATATGCAACTTTCGAACTATTAACGTCATTAATTGAATGAGGCTGCAAAGACTTTGTATTTGAGTGTTTAGATAATCATAATACTCCTGCATAGTCACTCTTTTTGTTCTTTTTTTTACATTGTTTTTATTTTTTTGACTTGCAGCAATAACTAATACAAGTGAAAAGTTGGAAGAAGAATCAGACACTGAGTTAACTGATGCGCAGATGCCAGCTACGTCTGAGGTACATTTTTCCTCACTCATTGTTCTTGTTTATGTGGTGGTTGATTGATATTTGCCATACATCTCATTCTTTTATATTATGACTGAGCAGACATTATCTTCTTTCTTTTACCTGAGTCGATGAAATAACTAATACAAATGCAAGGGGTTTTGATTTGCAATCTCTCTAACCAATAACAGGCTGACCAGGTTGGTGTAGGTGGGGTTGGTTTTATTTGGTCAGTTGGTGAGGGAGGACTTGAAGAAGAATGGAGGCATTCAGTAGCACCAATTCCTGAAGATCAATTGGTTGAAATATTAAAAAATGCTATGAATGAAATGGAGATCTCACATGAAGACAACACTATACTTCCACCTTCTGGAGAGCTGGAACCTGAATCTGTTGATTCTGATGATGTCAGAGATGATTCTGTTCACTTCGAGAAAGAGGTACTTCCACAATAATGCTTCATACAGTTGAATGTGTTGTTGAGTCCTAAGTTCATTTTTCTCCACTTTGTTTGCAGGTAGAAGCAACTTTTCTAAGGGGTGTGCATGAAAATGTCAAAGAAGACCACATAATATTAGAAGTAAATTCACTTCGGTATGATACAACCATCACTACTTTTTCTTTCTGGTCTTGTCATAGTTGCATCCGTTTTCACATATTATAATTCGGCACTTTGGCTTTATTATGAGGAAACCATGTATTTTCTAGTCCTGAGGCAAGGTGATTGATTCTTGACATAAGAATTAAGACAACTACATCTTGATCAAATTGCAAAGGCTAAGCTTAAATGAAGGCTTACAGATAATAACATAAGTTCTGCAGCATGAGTCTTTTTAGGGTGTGTTTGTTTGGGGGATTGGATTTTAAATACACTATTCATCCTATTTTTTCCCCCAAAAAACATCAAATCAAACACCTATTTTTTATTTTTTATATTATACTAAAAATCAATTTTACATTCAAACATCACATCAACACATATTTATATCACTTCATACAACTATTCAAATTCAAAATTTTTACTATTCAAATCCTAACTCAAAATCCAAACCCCCAAACAAACACACCACTGTATTCTTCATCTCCTTGCCACAAGATCCTTGGATGTTATTGTTAAATACATGACACTTGTCTAGCTGAAACAAAAGTTCCCTTGACGTTCCAGTTGTCCTTTTTTGACATGATGCATATGCTAAAAACAATATTGTTTGTCCAATAGAATCGTGACATGTAACAATTATGGGTATGTTAATTAGATGTGTATTGTGAAATATTAACCAAATTATTTCTAAAATGATTGATATCTGAATATAATTCCTTGGCCCTGTGCCAAAGTCTACAGCAGCCAATTATGTTGTGCCAAGTGCTATATGATAATTATTTCTAAGATACATACATACATACCCGACTTGTGGTCTATCAACACCTTAAATGCATACTTGCTAATAGACTTCTTTAATGTGCTTCCTTGGTTCCTTGGTTATGGATATATAGCCTATAAGTTTGATTTTGTTTTGTGTCTTCTTTTTTATTTTTTGGTCTTTTTATGCCTCAGGTTGTCGTGCAATCTTACTGCCACTGATTGTGCTAGTGCATTATTTTATGCTATGATGAAATTGGCACTGGATACTGCACATAGTTCAACAGGTGTGTTTCGTATTGTTTTTTATGAAATCTTCAATTCTTGTGGAAACTATTAGCTGTAAACCATCATTTTGTATGCTGAAAGTTTTACAAAAGATTAATCAAAAAAAAAAAAAAAAAGTTATACAAAAAATTAAACCACTCTATTATCAGGAACTAAGCTATATTGTGTTACAACAGTGACATTAATTGGCCATGCGGGCCTTTGCATTTTCTGACTCAATCTACTCAAGTCTGTTACCCAATGTCACCAGTGATCTCACATAAATGTTCTGTTTTTTGTATATATTATGAATCTTTACTGGATAGTTTTTGCTATGTTATGTACTAGCTAATGATCTTTTCTTGCCTAACCACCGTCCAAATGTTAAATCTGTAAATTATGACTTTATTTTTTGACTGAAGTTCTGGGCTTGAAACACAATTGATGGAACAAACTATTCTTCGCTCACAGTTTGTTGTCTTCATGAATAAGAAAGAACCCAGAAGCTATTCTGTTTATATAGTACTGTTAAATTAACACCTACAAATATGATCAATGGGTCATTTATTTGTGGATCACCTAACGACCAAATTGCACAGTTGTTTTTATAAATTTCTTTCTACATGTTTTGTAATTAATTAAATTTTAGTAAAAGCCTATGATCATAATTCTGGTGGTACCTGCTTTCACACCATCTTTGATGTGAAACCCCAAAGAATTTGAAAGAATTCATGTCAACAAGGTGGATCTTCCCTTTTTCTTGCATGTGATTCAAGTGCTACTCAATCATTGTTAATCTAGCCTCTGCCTACTTGCACTGCATCGTAGATCTGTTATTCAACTAGGGTCATATGTTATGCTTCAGATTCAATTTCATAGTAAAAAATGACCATGTCTGAGTGGTTGAAGATTTATATGAAATCGATATTTTCTAATCTTGTTTGACATTGATTGGTATGTTGGGTTTTTCTGTATCTGTTTCTTATCTATGTGTGTTCTTTTGTGTTTTTATTTTAGTTTTGTGTTTCTTGTTTTGAAAATTTTGAGGTGAAAATAGTTGGTTGATGTGATGTTTTGTATGAAAAATGAGTGTTGGATGTAATGTTTATGTAGAGAAAATAAAAGATTTGAGTAAAAAAATGAACATGAAAACACAAAAGAACAAACCCTTATAATTTCATTCTTTGTTTAAGTGTGTTGTACTTTTCCATCTATTTATGCACTAGGAATTGGCTTTCATATCATATTCATTGGGTAAATAAGTTCTTTATATCCAAGAAATGTCTTTTGCTCAGTCAGACTAGATAAGTTTGGCATTGTAGTTTTAAGGGATTAGATTATTATAGTGGTAACAAGGTCCATCTGCAAGAACACAACCTCTCAACACAGTCACGCATGTAAATCTTGGTATGAACTCCCTCTAATCATCATTATGTATTCTTACAGGCGAACTTGTCAAAAATGTCATCACTGTTGTTACAAAATGGAAAAAGCTCTTGAAGTACTACCTATCTAGCTTGGATGAAGAGGTTGGTATATGATTGTCTTGACGTTTCCATTTACATTTGTTTCTGAAGTAATTCCGTCATTAACTAACCTTATTTTAAAATTTATTGGAGTTTTAACTGAAATCTTTTTGTAGAAATATATTAGTATATTATTTTGGACCTCAGCATATTGGTGGTTTCTTAATGGGTTATGATTTTCGTATTCCTGAACCATTGCAGATTGAGGTGATCTTGAAATTTGAAGAAATGTGTTTAGAATCCATGAAGGAGTACTCTCCAATCTTTGTGCAGGTAACTTGATTATGCCATAACATTCTAGATCAATTGTAGTTTTAATTCCTCATCAAATATATTTCAGAACTGTAACCTTTTATTTTTTGTGGATCGATTCTATAATTCTTATCATTATCCTGCTTATTTATATGCTTCTGCAATCTCCCCTTGTTCTCCAAACTTTTTGATATCAGTATTTATGTAATAAATGGAAAACACTTGTAGGTTTTCTTAAATTCCATACCTCTATTTAAGTTGTTGCAATATATGGCTTCATTAGAAAAAATTGTCATGCACCTATAAAATTCACTGATAAACCATGAGTTGGTTGTCAGATTTTGCATGTTCTCTACGACAAAGACATTTTACAAGAAGATGCAATACTCAATTGGGCAGCTGAGAAGCAAGAGGCGGACGAATCAGATAAAGTGTTCCTCAAACAAGCAGAGAAATTCATACAGGTTGGCATTGTAATTGTTTAATCGATTTTCTTAATACAAAGCACCATACATTCATACAATTGTGTTAACATTATGTGCTTAGTGGTTGAATGAGGCACCTGAAGAAGACGATGAAGATGAAGATGACTGAACCGAGTTGTTTCAGCCTGCTATCATAGTGTAGTATCTAAATGACAACACACAAGCATATGCACATGAAATGCGAGATGTTTAAGTTAAGTACAGGCAAGTTGTGTGGTTTTTAATTGGATTGCTAGCGCAAGGCAGGCGGAACAACTTGGAAGATGGGGAAATAATCCTTGTCGACCTTCTCTTTTATTTTCTAGGGTGTTTTGTGAAATCAACTTAGCTTCTCAACTAACTTATATCCATAGAGAAGGAAAAGCAGTTGCTGCTGAATTTTCGCTTCTTCTTCTGCTTGTATCTATCTATGTTGTATTTTTTTTGAACCAAATATTTGTTGCCTTCCTTTTTCGGCTGTATTTTTGGGCTGAGGAGTAGATTTGGATGGACATGGAATTATATCATATCATATGTTATGTTGTATAAACTGCAAAACATGGAACGGCTTCCCGAAATTAATTGCTCTTTTGTTCTCTTTCATTTCATAAAATATTGAATTCAGTTGTTCTTTTTTTTTTTTTTGGATGACGTGAGAACCCGAAAGTGCGCAGGTCCAACTTAATACCCTACAAATTAGATCTGACAAGACAAGTTATGCTATAGGAATCATGTGTGGCAGATGACCTGGAAGTGTTGGGGTTAAATCCATGGCCTTATGGTCATATAAGCCTACCTCCGGACAACTGATGAAATTAATTATAGATTATGTTGAAATCAAGTAATTTTATTTAATACATAGTATTTATTATTGTTGGAAGATCATTCTCTAATTTTGATTGAAAACAGAGGTTTTAGTTTGGGTATCATCTCGATCGGAATTATTAATAATAATTAATAAAGGTGATTCATTCATGTGACTTATAATAAAGAGACAGACAACCTTAAACATGAAGACTATTCATTATGTAGTACAGTACAATACAATAAATGGTACAGAATTGATGTAAAGGTAATTAATCAGTAAATTGCCATTGCCAGCTTAATTTATTTGATGCCTTAGATAAACAAGTCACACTAAAGACTAAACACCTCCATTTAAGTGTGCTTGTTTGAGGGTTTAGATTTTGAGTTAATATTTGAATAGTAAAAAATAAGTATTTGATTTGATGTTTTTTGAGAGAAAATATTATATGAATAGTGGAAATCTAACTAAATCCTTCAAACAAACACACTGGCTAAGATTATTACCACATACTTATTGACTCTTTTCAATACATGATAATAGTTCACACATCATAAGTTACAATTAATTTTAATATACAATACAAATTAATATAAAATAAATTATTATCACGTGAAATTTAGAAAAAAAAATATAATTAGAATATAATTAAAAAGTATATTAGTAAAAATAATTATTGTATAATATAAATAACTATAAATTAAAATTAAAATAATTAAATAATTTAATGAAAATTTAATAAAACTATAAATTACAAATATAATTGGAGCTAACATTCTATTTTTCCATATCCAAGTAGTTTTTGAATTTATTACCTAAACAATATATATATATATGGTCTGGTTGCTCATCGGAAAAATCAACGGCATGTTTATTTTTTGTGATGTCCATTTGAAAAAATCCATTGTCTGTTTATATTTATAAAGTGTGTTGTATAAAAACAAATTAATAGTAATATAGGTTGTGTAGACTATTATCATGTGTTATTAGTTGATGCGATATATTTATATTATATTAATATAAATTGTATATTGTTTATCTTTGTATTATATTTTGTCTATCATAATATACTATATAATATCAACATTGTGTTGAATTATGTATAAGATTGTATAATATTATTCTCATCCGATTCAAATCTAAACTCAAATAAAATAGCAGAAATTTCACCTCTACAATCAATAGGTTTAGCCAAGGTATTTAGAACACGGCCCAAATCAATCGAAATAGTAAGTAATAGAAAAGACAAATTGCTTGGGCGTCTATCTACGTTCCTCGAATGGATCTCTTAGTTGTTGATTCAATATTTTAATATTACAGAACATAACGATTTCTTATCGATATAGATTTTCATTTTTTTTCTTTTTGTCATAATTGAAATATTATGTTAACAATACCCAATTACTTATTTATTTTTTATCAACATCTCATTGAGTGCATTATACAGGAGTTGACAAATAAATACATAAACAAAATTCGATTGCATTCTTCCTTCTTCTTTTGGTTAAACTAATGCACGAACACTACTAATATATATATATATATATATATACTAGAGCTCGCAACCGCGCCATGCCACGGAAGAACAAAAATGTATGTGCGGGATTATATTATATGTGAGAAATAGATATTGTTATTGTATAACAATGATTGAAATATTTTGAGATAACACAATATATGTTGTGTTATACTTGAGAGGGCCGATGCTTGCAGGCTGTTTGTTTAGGCGGTTATCGAGTTTGAGCAGCGACGCTAGCTGATTCCTTTTCAGGCAACCACGCATTTTCATCGTACAAAAATGTAACTCAGGACTCTTGGCTAGGGATCTAACATCAATTGGAGTGGGAAAACAAACGATTATGTGTTGTTTTGAAGGAATTCACTCACATTCTTACAAGGGTATTTATATCGGATGCTGAATGACCGTCTCACCTAAAAGTTCGAACTATTAGGGAAACGCAGACATTAATCATATATCCGCAAACGAGAGTCCCCAACAATTAATTTTATAGCAAACTGCCGAAGAACAAGAGTAAGAACAACCCTTTTGTATGTGTGAATGAGACACCAAATGAATATTATGCACTTAAGCTTAGATCTGCTGTTACTGTACTCATCATCCCATGAACAAACAGCTGCAAGAACGATCGCGGTGCTAATTTAGTTATAGTACTGCAATGAAAAGACACAAACTTATTTAGCTTTCATTCACTGCGAAAGGAATCTCTAACACTATGGTTATGACTATGGCTATTTATTCTTCCCTTCATATTCAATAATTCCCACAAACTGCTTCTAGCAAAGCAAACAAAGTTTAACCCATTCTAGAATATTTACAAAATACCCACCAGGACCCAACTCTTTGCGCAATATATATATACTTTTTTTCCTAAGATAAGAAATTGACAGTACTTGTATAATTATCCCTGTTATGAGAAAACGAAAAAAAAGCAAATAAAGAAAACAGAGATTTTACGTGGATCGGTGACGGTGTGTCAACCTACATCCACGGTTAGGAACCGGAGAGATTTTATTATACTGATTCCGACATTTACAATTATGTCATCTGACTAAGAACCATAGCTATCTATTTATAAGCACCCAAAAACACCATAAACTCTAAGCCTATTTGTTATTAATTAGGATAAGCCCAAAATGAACCCTGCCAATTGAAACAATCCTTTCACTTTGGTTTCGGGTCGGGTAAACCGCTAAATCCAAGTCACATTTCAACAATACCCAATGTATCTTTCTTACCCAGTTCAATAGAACCAATGGATTAAGAATATGGATAAAAGAAAAAAGAAGAAGAAAAGATAGTGCACTGAATCTGAATTATTATAGAAGATATTCAATCACGAGAACAAGTTTCGGACTTGAAATTAATCCATAGGCTAAAACACAAACAGTAGGCTAAATCTCACCGCAAGTGATTGAAAATGAACCGATGGAATCACTCCAAAGATCCGATTTAAGACTCTAAATGCGAGGAAATCACTAGAAAATTATAAAAGTGAAATTTGATTCAAGATGTAAAAAATTCTCATTACAATGATAGGCAATGAGAGAAAAATAAAAGACAACAAATAATAAAGGAAATAAACCAAAATGTAAGTCTAACTATAAATAAATAAAAAGAAATATATATTAAGGCAATTCTAGAATATTCATAAGTGATGATTCTCTTTATAATTTTTCATAATTTGTAATTTTCTTGATAATTTTTCATAATTAGCGATTCTCTTAATCTTTCAATTCCGATTCTTGCAGGTCCCATTGAAAAAGTATCAAGTGAGAGCTAAGTGATCTCTAAGCATCATCCTTAAATTGATTCTCCATGAAAAATCGTCGGGTCAACGCAGCGACGGATTCTTGAAAGTGACGAGCTCGGCTTCGAGTAATGGGTTCCACGGGCATTTGAATCCTTGAAGATTGAACGTCCTCGTCAGAAATGAACTACGTGCTTCCGATATCTTTGCAAGAACCTCATTCCTTTGCTTTTCTTTATCCTATTTCGTGAGATTATGTTGCCCTTACTTTATTGTCAACATGCATTTTGTTTTAACTCTAGTTAGTAGTCGTCCACAAAATTTATCATCATCTACTATGGCATATCATTGTCTAAGCTGAATTATGTTCTTCAAAGCTCTTGCAAATGCCTGATGGTAATTCAGATCCCACGTGTTCATCTTTTTCTAGTTCCTGCAGTTTCTACATCACTACCAGATTGGTTTTATCTACCTGGAAATGGGGCTTCGATTATTGCTTTTTTTTTTTACAGTATTGATGGAGATGCAACAGTGGTGCTGAACTACTCATTCCTCTGCTCAAGAGCTTTCCTTGACCTTTCGGTGTCGTTTACTCCAAATTTATACCCAAACTTAACTCACAATTAAACCCCAAATCCAATAAAAAAACACATACTAAAAAAACCTACATGATCTAAGCTTAAACAGTTAAACACCATCTCAAATATATGAATCTGAAACATCAAATGTCTGAATTGATTTTTGTTTTTAATTTACCCAATAACTCAGCCGCTATGCAATTAATTTATAATATAATTAAAATAATAAATTTAGTAGGTAATTAAATTAAATTCTGAATTAAAATAAATTATGAAAATGTTGATGTATTAAGAGCATCTCCAACTCAGCGTCAGCTTATTTGGCATCGGTAACCGACGCCAAATCCAACGCCAATTTTTGGCGTTACTTTATTTTTTTTTTTTTTAATTTTTAATTTTTAAAATTATAAATTTAATTTTTATTTTTTAAAAATTTTTAAAAATTTTATTTAAATTATAAAAATAAAAAATTGTTTAAAATAATAGGAAAAATTGAATATTTGAAAAATAATATTTTCCATTTTCGTTCGTAGGTTACCATTTCCTAATTTAGTAATTGTACTACCTACTTAACATAATAAATACGCTTTCAACTTACAATATATTATACAACTGTACTAATAGGGGTATTTTTGTCTTTTTACTACAATCCAATATAATATTAATATTAAAAAATGCAAAAAACAAACGCCACCCTTCCAACGGGACGAGGGAGTAGTAAAAAATGAAGTTATGGCGGAAGTAAAATTAGTGTAGCAACTGTATATTTAGAGTTAAAATTGAATAAATGAAATTGATCGGTTGAAGATGGCCACTCGTAAAAAAATATTTAGGATCAGTTTCAATCTCAAACCCAAAATTGAGATTAGCCTATGCACCTCACCCTCACCTCACTCTCAAACCCAAAATTGAGAATCATCGACGGACACCTCACCTTTAAACTCAAAATTG